CAAAACACACGCTTCCCTCCTGCCTATTCCCTCCCGCTGGCTCCGCCCATGTGATGCCCCATCCCCCCCCACGCCCCTCCCCTTCTGGAGATGGCGGAGTGCGGTGTAACCCCGGTGGCCATGGAGGACAGTGACCGTGAGGCTGGGTACCATTCCGATGACCAGCGTCTTAGCCCGGAGTCACCCGGAAATGGCCAAGACCCCAGAGCCACACAGGTATCCCCATACCCCCACCCTAGCAAATGGATCCCTGCTAACAGCCAATGGTCAGTGACTGTGGGTGGAGCCTCTTAGGGGGCGTCTCTGGAGGACCCAAAACCCACACACATGTATAATATAATGGTGGTTGGCATGGCACTTACATGCAGAGTGTGATTCCAGGGGTACCGTAGACAGGCTTTAAAGATGGAGGAGGGATTGCTCAGCACCCAGGTGAGTGGGAAATCCCGCGTAAAACACTCACCCTTCACACTTTCACTGCTGATGTCAGAGGCGTACAGTCACGTATGCCCTCGGCGCCCGAGGGACCGAGGTCACTCCACCAGCCAGCTGGCAGACATCCCGAACGGTCACATGGTCTAGCACGTGGCCCCCGGATGCAGCACGGACCGGTTGGGGGTGGGAGGGGTCGATGCACCAGCCTGGAGAAACTCATGACGCTAATGTCAGGAACAGGGAGACTAGCTGCACTTCCTGTTGTGTGCTGGGCGGGGGAGGGGGGTGGCTCCATCACATTAGCACAGGGTTTGATTTTAACACCCCCACCCCCCCTTATGGCTAATAAGCTCACTCTTCGATATTTCCACCCCGACGTCACCCCTGGGCTCAGCTCTCTAATGGCTACTGACTGACTTTCTCTCTCTTCACCCTGAAACACTGACGCACATTCTGTGAGCCATTTTAACCTATTTTGGAGGAACAAAATATTTTCTCTCTGCCTTTCCTCCCTTCTGCCTCTTTCCTTTTCTCCTCCTGTCTACATTAACCCTCTCCATCCTGCTGCCTCCACTCACCCTGCACCATCCTGCCAGCCACCCAGCATGTCCAAGGAAGATTCGGGGGACTCAGAGCTGGAGCGCATCATGGGAGACCTCCAGTCCAGCAGGGGGCACCCTGTTCCCAGCCGTGAACCCCCAGGAGACAGGGAGGCAAAGGCCCTGGACAAGTCAGCCCTTTTGAGGCCCCCCGTGGCAAGCAAAGCACATGGGGAGCCCAACACAGAGCAGGAGAGAAGGTCCAGGTTTCATCCAGCCTCTGCAGACTTTAAGCAACCTTCTCCTGTCAGTCCCTCAAGGCCCAAGAGCCCCTGGGGGCGCCATGACCCCTACGACTCGGCAGAGGTAACACAGAGGGCACTCTGGCACAGGACACCCCCTCAGTCCAGCTGTCTGGGGCTCTACAATCTGTCCACTAGACCCCAGACCCTGTTCCAGCTCACGGTCGGGTGCATAAGTACTGTCATGATCCAGAGCATTGCACACACACTACATCCAAGCATTATGTATGACTGCAGTCTGCTGCTGGAACCTGAAAGGCTAACGGTTAAGGAAATTAACCTATACCCCGAAGGCTGTACCCCTATACCCCGAAGCTGATCTCTGTTTGGGCTCTGCTGTTGTACCCTGAAGTCCAGTACTTCCTGTATTGCAGAGCCGCAAAGACAGTGAGGTGCTTTGGGTCAAAGTGTCCATGAAGCATCTGGATTTTACACTTCCTTCTGGTGGAGAAATTCCTGCGGTGTCTCCGTTCCCATCAGCTTTATCAGCATTGTCTCTGGTGTTGTTGAGACGTGCTACTTTGAGCAGGACCTCCCAGGCACCGTGTGTCCAGTCGTATCTTTTAGATGAGCATGGGACCATAAGGTTTTCAGAAGCACGTGAATGGCTGTGTGTGCGCTGAGGTTAGGGGCCCCGGGCACTTGGAGGTGGCACTAATTAGGTCGCTCTGTCCTTGAGTTCAGGGGCGCCAGCCTCTCTGTGCCTAATTGATGCCCGCTTTAACGGGGGGGGGGGCCTGGAGCGGCTGCCTTTGAACTCTGATGGTGAGCCCAACGACAGGAACGCAGGCTCTGTTTGAGGTCTGCTCTTTGCTTCTAATCATGGATAATTAGAGATGGGGCACATTTGGAGAGCAGTTTCCTGCTGTGAGGGCGCCATCTGTTTGCGATTTTGTGTACTACAATAAGGTTTTGAAATGGCTCAGAATAGCAGCGGAGAAACTGATGGTCAACCCAAAAAAAGATCAAGGCTTTGGTTCGGTTCAGTGATGGTCAAGGAGTTTTAACACGTCGGTGTTTTGAGTGCAGCGCTCCCGATGGCGAGCCGGCGGCGAGCCCCCTTAGTGTATGTGCCCTTTCTTTTACTTGCGAATTATGTTGTCGTATCATATTTTGTCCTCCTTGTCACCTCCGTGTTTGACCAGTGATGTCCAGAGCTCAAGCATGCTGCTCTCTCCCTCCCTGACAGGATCAAGATAAGGAGTATGTTGGCTTCGCCACGCTTCCTAACCAGGTACACAGGAAGTCCGTGAAGAAGGGCTTCGACTTCACCCTCATGGTGGCAGGTGAGTGACTTGGACAGCGGGGCGGATGACGTGGCCGGATGGAGCGCCCCCACCTGGCTGAAAGCTCTAAGGGCTCTGAGTGTGCTTCCAGGCGAGTCCGGCTTGGGAAAATCCACCCTCGTCAACAGCCTGTTCCTCACGGACCTCTACAAGGACCGGAAGCTGCTCAGCGCCGAAGGTACCGTGTTCGACATCACGGGAGCTTTGGGAAACACAAGCGCTGGCCAGTAAATCTTGTAGAAAGTGTTTGTTCTTTCCAGTGTTGGGATGAAAATGTGGCTTATATTTAAATTTTGACTGAAAGCAGGGATGTGGATGAACTTGTTAATTAAATATACCAGCGCTAGCCTCTTGAGCCTATGAGAGACACAGACAGGAAAGGCGATGAAAGGGGACTTGGTATTGGCTCTCGCCATGAAAGGATGACGGTGATTGGCTCTGGTGTGAAGGGGGTGGTGATTGGCTGCCTTCACATACAGAGCGCATCACTCAGACGGTGGAGATCACCAAGCATACGGTGGACATCGAGGAGAAGGGGGTCAAATTGAAGCTCACCATCGTGGACACACCTGGATTCGGGGATGCCGTCAACAACACTGAGTGGTACGTACTTAGAGAAAAAAAAACAGAGAGGGGGTGGGGCTTGGGACCAGCCTGAACCAATGCGCGACGGAGCTGGCCTGCCGACCTGAAGCTGGGAGGGGCCTCAGGCGCAGGTACCTCACCTGACTGACCTTCTGTTGTTCCCCACACAGCTGGAAGTCTGTGGCAGACTACATTGACCAGCAGTTCGAACAGTACTTCAGAGACGAGAGCGGCCTGAACCGCAAGAACATCCAGGACAATCGCGTGCACTGCTGCCTGTACTTCATCTCGCCCTTCGGCCATGGGTACAAAGACCGCTGCCTCCCATTTGGGGAACTTCTCATCGGCTTGGGGACGCAAGGGCCTCCCATTCTGAGGCGAAAAAGGTTGCATGTGTGCATAAGCGGCCAGTATGGTCACATGACGTGTCCCTGTTGGGACTGCGAAATGTTTTCTTGTAGTGTGCCGCAGTGGTGAACTTTGTCACCAGTTTGTCAGAGAAAATGCTGATTGCTCACTTCTCACTGCAGACATCAAAGAGATGCTTCATGCATAAAGCTATTGTATTGTATGCTCAGGTTTTATGCCACAGAAAAGCCATATAAGCTGTAGAACAGTGCCACCTGCTGGTCAACTTTTGGAACTAAATATTAAGAACATGTAACTCCAGTGGCAGGATATATTATTAGGTTATTCTTAGTTGTGGCTCTGCGGTAGCTCTTTGTTTTCGGTCAGTGTATGGGCCCCAGAGGTAGGATTGACCCAGCTGTGTGTCCTGGTCCCCAGCTTGCGCCCCCTGGATGTGGAGTTCATGAAGGCTCTTCATGAGAAGGTCAACATCGTGCCAGTGTTGGCCAAGGCGGACACACTCACCCCATCTGAGGTGGCAAAAAAGAAGCTGAAGGTAAATCTCACGTTTCTCGCCCGGGGGGGGGGGCACAGTCCCTCAACCTTTACAATTAACAGCCCTCTGCTTCGAAGTCAGAGGTACAGTAGCTTTTCTATTTACTGACACATATTTCTGCTGATGCCTGACCCACCCCGTACCCCATACTCATCTCGGACTTGGATGGGGGGGGGGGTCCTGGCGCCTGACCCACCCCGTACCCCATACTCATCTCGGACTTGGATGGGGGGGAGATTGACCAGTATGGGATCAAGATATACCAGTTCCCTGACTGTGACTCCGACGAGGACGAGGAATTTAAACAGCAGGATCAGGAGCTAAAGGNTTACAATTAACAGCCCTCTGCTTCGAAGTCAGAGGTACAGTAGCTTTTCTATTTACTGACACATATTTCTGCTGATGCCTGACCCACCCCGTACCTCATACAGCTTTTCTATTTGGAGGGGGGGGGGGGTCCTGGCGCCTGACCCACCCCGTACCCCATACTCATTTTGGACTTGCAGATTCGGGAGGAGATTGACCAGTATGGGATCAAGATATACCAGTTCCCTGACTGTGACTCCGACGAGGACGAGGAATTTAAACAGCAGGATCAGGAGCTAAAGGTGAGGTGTCACATTTTGGTGGAGTTGCAATTGCTGATACCGTATTCAGAGCCCGTTCTCATGCTCTCTACTCTGATCTGATGCTCTGGGACTGTGGGGTGTGGGGGGGCTGGGTGTTGGAGGTGGGACTGGAATCTGTGGACTGGGAGGGAGAGGGTGGGGCCTGCAGTTCCTGAGAGGCCATGTTTGACACTTTCTGCAAACATTTCCCTGGCTGAATTAGTCACATTCCTAATTAATCATGAGCACCTTTGTAATGCAACAGCATTTCCTGAACGATCTGTACTGTGCTTTTAATGTGTAATTTAAAAACACCGTTAAGGGCAAAGCATTAATTAATTAAGAGAGATGAGAGAAGCCAGCAGTGCAGTGGAGTGTAACCCCGCCCCCCCTCACCACCCCCACAGGACAGCATCCCCTTCGCCGTCATCGGCAGCAACACCGTGGTGGAGGCTAAGGGTCGCCGGGTCAGGGGTCGGCTGTACCCTTGGGGCATCGTGGAAGGTACGCTGGCTCACACTCCGGAACATTCTGTGCAGTAAAGCAGCAGGTGACGGTGACTCGTGACCTGGAAGTATGCAGTAGTACAAATGGAGCAAAGGGTTTAATTCTGCTAAGTAAACAAACAGCAGGTGGCGTAGTGGTTGAAGGCATCGGCAGATAATCTGAAAGCTTGGCCTGCAATAGCGGCCTTAGGGCAGAACGCATAAGCCGGTTCAGCCTGGTCAAAAAACAAGGAAATACCAGCTGAATGAATACATTACAACAGGAGGTTTCAAGTAAGTCGGCTGTGGATCTGTACATGAGTAAGTGTGCAGTAACCCCTTCACGCTCACGCGTTTGACAATAGCGGTTTTGGTTATTCGTGAGCCAGCCATAGAAAATTAAATGGAAGTTTTTGGTGCTTGATCGTAGAAACTGGCAGTCTACACGTAAGTCAAAAACTACTGAAAATGATTTAGAGCAGATAAAATCATATAACATAATTTGTTAGTGTAAGTAGGTACTATATCATTAATATTAAAAGTCTTCGCTTGGGGACGCCGTGCATCTTTGCCTCGGCAGCCGCTCTCACTCCGACGTCAGCTGTCTCTGTAATCGTAGGATCTTGCATTTCCCGCAGTAACTTTTAAACTTTTCAGTGCCAGTAATTTTGCATTTTTAATAATGAGTCCAAAACAGAGTGCTCCCATTCGGAGACAGTTTCTATGGTTTATATAAAAAGTATTTCGACATGCAAAGTGTACAGTTCTATACTGTTCATTCAGAAATTGGTAATAAATAGATTTTATGTTACCGTTCAGGCTAGCAGACTGTTATGTGTTGAGGTTAGGGTGTATTATTCGTGAATTGTCACTTTAGCGGGGATCAGGTTAACCCCGCGCTGCCTGTGGTCCCGGCAGTGGAGAATGCTGCGCACTGCGACTTTGTGAAACTGCGGAACATGCTGGTACGGACGCACATGCAGGACCTGAAGGATGTGACCCGGGAGACCCATTACGAGAACTACCGGGCCCACTGCATCCAGAGCATGACCCGCATGGTGGTGAAGGAGCGCAACCGCAAGTATGGGCCCATCTGTTCACACACACACACACACACACACACACACACACACACACAGGTTCGGGTTCTGCGGTATTTTAAGAAGTGACAGGTTGTTTGTAAGTCACATGACCCCCGTGACCCCACAGCAAACTGACTCGGGAGAGCGGCACGGACTTCCCCATCCCCATGGTGTCCAACATGACAGACAGCGAGACGGAGAAGCTCATCCGCGAGAAAGACGAGGAGGTACGGCCCCCGGGGTCAGAGCAGCCCCGCGACCCACTGCCAGGCACAGAACTGCACCTCCACTTGGAGCCATGTGCTGAAAAGGGCCCGACACCCAGCCCCGACCCGGGGGGGTCCTGAATGCACCCCTTCCCCAGCTGAGCGTAGTCCCTGTTTAGTAGCACCCTCCTGAAGCCCGGCACACCGGCACATGTCTGTGCCCAATGCTGCGCCCTGCTGGCCACTGAGGGCACTGCAAGTGGCAGGGGAGTCAAGCCAGTGGTGCAGGGTGGATGACCTTGCTTGTGTTGGGAATGTGAGGAAACAGGCTGGTGTGTTGGAGTTACTGTCACATGTTCAACAAAATAGGTGCCATATATTTGTTTATTATTTATTTATTGTTTTATTTATTATACTTATTTATTCTGGAAGCTTCCTTATGAAGTGTGTACCCTTTTCCCTCATTAAAACCAGTTTCACCAGCCGTGTGTGTAACTGACAGACTGTGTGCCAAGACTACACACCTTTAACAGGCCACGCACACGCACAGTGAGGACACGCCTCACTCTTATTGTCACACCCCACCCCTCTGCAGTGTCACGGCCGTGTTATGGTGACACTGTAACTTGTCTGTGTCACAGGGCCGAGATCCCACACATCTGTGGGTATAACACTAACCCTGGTTAATACTCTATACCCACTAACCAAGTTAACCTCTGTCTAAGTACTTTGGGCAGGTTAATGTTCCTAGTTAACCTCAGTCATATAACAAACCTGTGTAATGCTGGAATTTCTGGCTAAGAACAGCAGTTCGGATATTTCGGAAATCGCTGCGCTATCTGGACCATAATTCATTAAATAGCTGCAGTTTTCAGTGCAGTGAGTTTGTGCTTTTTAAAAACTAAAAATCATCTGTTGCTTAGTTTTCCCAGTTTGTTTGGTCGTGGAGATGAGCGGGTCTATCCCCTCGTTACCTGTCAAGATTCATAAAGTCACCCATTTTAAAAATGGTAGGCTAAGACAAACTGCTGTTCAAAAACCTGCCACTAGAGGGCATTCCTGAGCGAGACACTGGAAGGTCCAAGATTGGTGCAGCCTGTGCGCATTTGTGGTTGCACCACAGCCTATGGTTGTAAATGTGGGCTGAATGCGAGGGGGCGAGTCTGATATCATCTCTATCTTCCAGCTGCGGCGAATGCAGGAGATGCTGCAGAAGATCCAGGAGCAGATGCACACACAGAAAGAGGCCTACTGACCCCCACCCTGGGGGACTGCTCTCAGGATCTGTTATCCTTCACAAAAAGTTGCCCCTGCTTGCCCCTGATGGCCCTATCCAGCCCCCCCTCGTGTCTCCACCTTCCGCTCTCTCCCTTTCTGAAGCCTTCATCTGTAGGGAGGAAGACGGCAGCGACAGCGGCTCCTGGGCCATGGGGCTCCCTCTGCTGGGAGAAGCTGAGGATGGTCCTGAAGGGTGGAGATTCCGCGGCGTCCCCGGCGCCCCCGGCCCGGACACTGACACAGGGATGGGCTTCCCCAAAATGCATTTAAACCTCATACTGAAAAATCACTGTTAGAGGAGCAAATAAAAAGAATATCTGTCATTCCAGTACCTGCATTAATAATTTCACAGAGGACTGCTAAGTGTTATCTGCTTAATTTATACCTGTGACACTCATTTTAGGCTCTTTCAGACTGGGTAGCTTCTCATGATGTATGATTTGTTTTTCTCTTCTCTTCCCCCTGTTCATTCCCTACATATTTCTGCCCCTTTGCACCGCCCCCCCCTCCCTATCCATGCCTGCATGCTTGTATCCATGCACTCTCCATGCCCTGCCCTCATCCATGTTCAACACAGCTCACCTGTTCCCTGCTGATGCAGAACCCCTGTTATGACATAGGTTAAAAAAATTGGTGTGGGAAGTTGTGTGTATATGTTCTGCTATATTGGCATTTGTTTGCTTTGTTCCAGCTGCGTAATAGTGCAGGTAACCGCTTCTCCTGTGTAGTATGTTTGCATTCATCAAGCGTTTAACCCCTCAAGCAATAATTTGATATTCAAGGATCTTTTTTTTAATTTTTTTTTTATCAGGTTCTTATCTTTAATTTTTTTTATTGTTTTTGTTTATATTGATTTTAGGGGACATGGGAGCACTTTAACTGAGCCTCGGGAAAGAACAATAAAGGGGCCCTTAAAGTGTGATAGGTGCCTTGTCGAGTGCCTGTCTTTAAAGCTTCTGTAACCCGCAAGACCTTCTAACCTCATTTCAGCCGGGCAGTGTGTCTGGACTGCGGCCATGCCAATGAGGGGGTAAAACAATTTAAGGTGTTTTACCATTGAAAATAGCTTTAAGCTGAATTATTATACTATTATTTCTTAATTCCTGGAATGAAAACTAAAAGCTGTCATGATACTTGTCACCTAGTATGAGAGGAAAGTAATTAAACATGTAATTTAATTAAATAGGGGTAAGGAGAGCCTGGGATTGGGGTTGAATGAATGAACGTTACATTTATATAATGCTTTACAGAAGCAATGAGGAGCCACTTCAGCCAGTGTAGCACCCATCTGGATGATGCAATGGCAGGGGTGGTGGGTGGCCCAGTGGTGTAGTGGTTAGCACTGTTGCCTCACACCTCTGGGACCAGGGTTCAAGTCCCTGCCATAGCTGGACAATGGGCCACCCCCACAAACAACCACCTCCCCCCCCAACAAGACAGTTGGAGAAGATGGACATAACAAATGAGTAGGGGCAGCACAAAGGGTAATTTTGGCAATCTGTGAAGCATAATAATTTTGGCCTTAACAAAAGACACCCAGGGACCCATTAGACTGGGCTCCCCAGGATAGGCTGACCTGCTAGCCACACTAACACCAACTCCAGGGGCAACACAGCTTTCTTAGCTGGTCTCCCATCCAAGTAGTAACCAGGCCCAAACCTGCTTAGCTTCAGATGGATCACCCAGCCTGAAGTATAGGAGCTATGGCTGCTCACATACCAAAAGGTGTATCAGGAAGTTAATGGGAGGACTTTACTTTACAGAATACCACATTGCCAGTGTTTGTGGGCCCAGTCTTTTAATACCAGCGTCTGTTTTCCCACCCAGATTCAAAATTTGCCCCATCAGCCCTGCACTGAATTTACCCATCGCCATCATTCAGGAACAATGAGGTGTTTTTGCTTTACCACTGCATTTAAAATGACTATGTAATAACTTTATAAATTCAGAGGTTTAAAAAAAAAAAAAAACGCAATAAAAAGCCGACGTGTCATTGTTATTTTGTATTATGTGCATGCGGTGTGTAAAATTTGAGATATAAGCTGTAGGAGGCCGCGTGTGGCTCAGTGGGCTACGCCTCTGTGTCTGTGATCAAAGGGGTGGTGGTTCAAGCCCAGCCTCACCGTGTCTGTGGCTCCTTGAGCAAGGCCCTTAACCAACCCCCCCTGGTTATAGCTGCAGCTTGCTGACACCTATAGAGAGCAAACTGAGGGAGGTACAAGTCTCCACAAAGGCTTTTAAATCTGCACATTGGCTCCAAAGCATTATGCAGCAGTTTAATTGCACCCTGCTTCAGACAAGAATCCCAGAATCCAGTTTGGAAGAGAATTACCACTCTGATTAAAGCAGGAATGGGTTTTGTTAGTTCACATTGCTGGTCCTGCTCCTGCTCTTGCTCCATATCCAATCAGGGAGAGTTTGTGTTGATAGCTGTTACAGTGTGATGTCATCATGCAGAGTGAGTCACTCCTCACTATAAATGTATTAAGATTTATTAAGAATCTTCAGTATTTTTTTTTTTTTAACATGGACAATTAATTCTAAATATAGCCCAAAATTTACAGGCGATAACTTAAACTTTCTCCATAGGGAAAACACACAATTATATATATAATATCAATGTGGAAAGAGCGCTGTAAAGTTGCCCTCATGCTATGACAGTACTATATATGGTCCCAGAAAAAAATTAAATTTGCAATCTACATGCAAAATACAGGCAACAATCAAATCTTAAAATACACTTATGTGAATGTGCAGATCGGCTTAGTCTGCCCTCACAGCCACAGATCACAAGACTGAGATCACGTCAGAAACATCTCAAAAATGACAGAGCCTCTCCCTCCCCTCGCCGTCTTGCTCTCGCTTGTCGTTGACGCCGTCGGGACGAGCGTTATATACAGCTGCAGATCTTCCGGGGCCAATGAACAACAGGTCACAGTGATACAGGTTGTAGTCGAAGCTCACATAACGAGAGGGTCTCCTTTAGCTGAAGCGACGACGACGGTGACGACGCACAGTGGGCCGGAAACCCAGAGTGCTGCCGGCATGTGGACTCGCATGGGGGACGCGACCCAACAGCCTGCAGCGTACTCATGACGGACTCCCGCTTTCAGCGATGCTGGAAAGTGCTACTTAAAAATATGCGCACAGCCCAGGGGGTGGGGGGCCGGGGGCTGACAGGCACGGGACATTCTGTGCAGTTTAAATAGCATCATTTATCAACACCTGCCTCAGGGAGAACACGCCCTCTCTCCCGCCTATACACCAGTGTCGTCACACTACGCAGGCCGACGGCAAGAAGGCCGCCACAATCCCTCACACAGATAACCCTGTATCTACCCCCCACCCCCCAGACTGCATTAGCGACCCTAGGCTGTTTGACTGTTGTAGTGGCATTTCCCACGCAGCAGAGGGCGCCTGTGTGCCACACAGCATTTATCAAGGCACAGGCAATAGGTCTGTGTGTGACACCGCTGGCTGCCCGAACTCGTCACATGACAAAAAAAAAGCAACCAATCAGAGAATCCCCCCCTCCACACCGTATTCGATGCCTTTGTGAGGACTCCCCGCCCCCCCACCGTAAACTGTAAACACAGAGGATCATGTATGACGAGATGCTGGACCAAAGCATATACCCACACAGACTGCCATTACATATATATCATCATTCTTTATATATACCAATAGATAAAATATATATTCTCTGGAATGTACACGGCCACTGCTTACACGCCAAGCGCCTCGAGATGCGGGTCGCCATGGCGATTCTGGCACGGTCAGCAGTCCAAACGTTACGCTCCATGCCCCCCTCAGGCAAGCTTCAGGGTGCTCACTGGGAAAGAGGGCATGGTCACCATGGTTACGGGGTTCAGTACGGTCTGGCCCACCAGCTGCGGGTGGTGCGTCACCACCTGCGCCCCCATGGCAGCCTGCTTGCCCACCACGGCCCCCTGGGGGGCGCCGCCGTTAACCTGGCCGTGCGACAGCGTGTGAGCCAGGTGGCTGACCACCGCGGGCTGGCTGACGGCCACGGGCTGCGGGTAGAGGCCCGGCAGGGTCTGCCCAAGGTGCGCCACCGTGATGTGGCTGATGGGCTGGGCAGCGCCAGGTGCCAGGGGCAGCGGGTTCGAGGGCGAGGGCACTATGTGGGCCACGTGCTTGGGGCCGGGATGGATGACGTGGTTGACGGCCTGGATGACGGAGGCGTGAGGTGCGGTGGCCGCGGCGGCGTGCGTGATCACCGTGGGCTGCATGCCGGGGATCTGTGCAAGGTGGCCCTGCGGGATGGCCTGGGGGGCCACCATGGCCTGGGCGGGGGCCGGCTGGGCCATCGGCTGCGGGGGCTTGTGCTGGACAGACAGGTGCGGGGTCAGGATCGGCTGAGGGGCCATGGCAGGTTTGCGGGGTTCAGTCTGCGGGGCGGGAGCCGCCCTGGCCATAGGGGGCGACGACAGGCTTCCCTCATCCATGTCCTCGTCGATGTTATCTTCACCCTCTGGGGGGGGGGCAGAGATGCGGTTGGCACAGGATGCTCATCATACGACACGTGTGAAGATCTACAAGGCTCACAATCAAACTGCGACTGCTTTAAGGAGCAGAGGACGTGCAAAGTGTGTCACCTTCGTGTCAGGCGGCTGGCGGACAGGCAGACGGCCTGCTGCCGGGACACAGGGACAACCCAGCGCCTCTCACTTAAACGGCACAAAGGCATCACTATCATTATCATCGTTATCAGTATTATTATTATTAGAGCACAAAATGGGGATAAACCAGCTCATTTTCAAGTGTCAAAATGTTCAATAAACGGTTCTCCCCCTGGGGGGGCACAGGCAGTTCGTTACATGCACTTGTAAACCTGCGGCGGGGGTTTAAAATGAGGCCCCAGTGGTAGATAGTTCAGATCCGGAGAGTAAAAATCCAGGCCAAGATTTTGCTTGAACCAGCCAGCTGAGTACGCAGTGAATGTGGCTCTTTGTGGTCCAAAACAAAATCTTGGTCTGGATTTTTACTTTCTGGACCGGAATGATGCCCCTCCGGTGCTGACCTGAGGCGGTGGAGGTGGAGGCCTGGTCGTCTTCGGGCTGCACGGTCTGCCGCAGCACGCGATCCACCTCCATCACATCCATCCACTGGCCGAGCTCGTTCTTCAGGTCGGCCAGCCGCTGCTGCGTGGCGATCTTCTCCCGGGCCAGACGCTCCATCTCATGCTCATACTCCTTCTCCTTCCTCTTCAGTGTCTGAGGGGGGGGATTATGGGCATTTAGATTATTTAAAAATAAAATCAGGACTCAAGGGTACAACGGCAACACCCCATACTGGTGAGCGTCAGTCCTGAAGCCACAGCCATAGCCGCCTGCTGACCTCTCACTCATTATGAGCTCTAGTCCCCGACCAAAGGCACAGGCTCTCGTTGGAATTACCCCACAAACTCATGCTGATGGAAAAGTCCCCCCATCGTGACTGTAAGGCATGGACAGGGGTGGGTATGGGTGAGGGCAAAGCATGGCTGACATGCTTGCACCCATAGACATGCCGGCTGCGGCTACCTGCGCACCCGCCGGCTGCGGCTACCTGCGCACCAGCCGGCTGCGGCTACCTGCGCACCCGCCGGCTGCGGCTACCTGCGCACC